AGCTTAATATAAAGAAATCCTATTTTGTACAAAAATTATGTTACTTAATTTAATTTTAAAAAACAGTTTATAAAAAAATGTATTACATTAATAATAATATGTTTTTTGTCAATTTCATTATATCAATGCATAATTTTCTTTAAGAAATTAAATAAATAATTTTTATTCGTTTTCAATGACAGTTACAAAACTAATAGAAAGCTTAGGGCCGGTTAACAGAACGTGTTAATGGCAATTAAATTTTAATTCACGATTAACTTGACGTTTGTCAATGTAAAATAAATGGCAACTTAATTCGAATTAGTTTAATTATGAGGTAAATTTTAATTAATTTTTTTTAATTGAAGAATTAAACCACTCGCGGTAAATATATACAGGGTGCGCCAGAACTCGCGCCCCAGAGAAAATTTTCAAGTAAGGTAAGATACCAGGAACATGAAAAAAATGTTTAAAAAATTCGATCTGTCAAAAAATTTTGACATTTATTTTTTGACATTTGACATTTTTTATATCTATTTAATGATACTGATGATCTTGTATTTACAATTATTTAGTAAAGGGACAAACATTTGGCCCATAAAAGCCATAAATGACATTGAACAGAGTTACAATTTAGGGTACAGCTTCCTTGTTTCCTCTTTTAATAGCCTATAGCAAAAAACTTGGAAAATTATTTTTCCAACAGAAATAAATAGAGTCAAAGTGCAAACTTTAAACCCTGATAACTTCGAAATTTTTATAAATAAAATTTTTTTAACATTTTTTCCATGTTTCTGATATCTTTCCTAATATGGTATTTTCTCTGGGGCGCGAGTTCTGGCGCACCCTGTATATTCTTCTCGCAAATAAACAATGGTTTAATTTATTTGTTTTACATAAAATCAAGTTTAAAATAGAGAAAATCTATTTTGTAGAAAAAATATGTTAATTAATATTATTCTGAAAAAACTATTAAAAAAAAATATGAAGTTAATAATGATTTGTTTTTTCGTCAATGTCATAATTAATGCATAATTTTTTAAGAAATGGTTTGTTAAATTTTTCATTAAAAAAACTCAACATTTTCATCTAATTAACTTGACGTTTGTCAATGCAAAATAAATGGCAACTGAATTAAATTTTCATTTCGCTTTTTGTAAACTGCTTCCTAAAGGAATTTATCTTGAAACTACGTCAAGTTTGCAGCCTGCTTGCGGTTAGAAGCAGGGGTTGGTTTATTGATTCGTCATTTTCACTTTGTTCGACTGTACTTATAGCATTTACCTCACACTAACACGATTTTGTTTTTGAACGCTTTGCGATATTTCCGTTTTACTCGGAGACATTTTGTTTGAAGAAACTTTGTCCAATTGTATACTCTTCGTTAGTGAACATTTCTTAATTTAAACAGAAGTATTTTGAAAATATTTGGTATTATGTTCGAACATTTTAAGAAAATAGCTATTTATGTATCAAGTACGCAAACTAGGTTACCTACGCTTTTGCGTACGTGGTGCAGCTTTGAACATTCCACAAATGGAAATGCAAAATGCATGTCTACAAAAAAATTCGTAATACGAGACCCTATGGACCTAATTATTTCATTCAAAAAATTGAATGCCGATATCACATACTACGAAATTTTTGTACCAAAATCAGAGAAATCGCTAAAACTCTCTGATCCGACATAAATATAAAAATTTAGAACAGCAATTGTTTCAGCTATAAAATACAGAAAAAACGAAAGCTGTACAATTCATCAAAAAACAGAAAACTTGAAAAATGATATTTTAAATGATCATTCAAATTGCGCTTCGTATTTCTGTAAAACAGTTGGTCAAATAATAAATGCAGTTGCATATTCTGATTTTTTAAATAGTTCTTTGTTTGAATTGTTCATGCGGGCATTAAAAAGAGTTGCAAATTTATCTTCAAGTCTTTGGTACGATGTCGATAATAATTCCACAGAAACCCAAGCTGCGAAATTAAATAAAAGAAAAATTCGTATTCATAGTGCAGATTCCGATTATGGTGCGATGAATGACATAATAGATATGCCAATGGAAACATATGAAAAAATAAAAAGTGAGTTTTTGAATGATTTGGCTGTTTGCGATATTTTAAAAATCCCTATTGAAACAATTGGTCAACGTAATAATGAGCAGTGGGATAAAAAAAGAAATAACAGAGTAACAGCTAGTAATTTTGGAAGAATTGTAAATATGAAATGTAAAACCAATACTGTAAAAAATATCTTATATAGTGTAGGTGTGTCTAAATTTACAAAAATTGCCTGAACCTCTACAATGGGGTATTGATAATGAAGAAAAAGCAAAGGAAAAGTTTGAGCAAATCACAGGTTTCAAGGTGGACTCATGCGGCTTTTTGTTGATGAAGAAAAAACATTTTTAGGTGCAACACCAGATGGATTAGTCGGTTAAAATGCTATTGTTGAAATTAAATGTCCATTTAGCGCGAGAAACACCGATATTAAAACTGCCATAGAAGGAAATAATACACATAACACAATAACGATAAACATAATATGTGTCTCACCACAAATACCTAGAATCGTTTTTAACACAAAATTAATTTGACTAATTAGAGCTGTCCGTAAAGACCAACTCATATAATAATCCCTAAGCAAAAACCGTCCTCAGTAAAATTAATATAAATATTATATTTTATTTTTTAGGTTTACGTATTGGTCTTAGTGTCTTTATATTAAACCTATCTATTTTTTTTATTTATTTTTATATAGATGAATAATAAAAAAATTGAAGTTTTGAAATGAACTAACAATTCTCTTATTGGGGGGTGCAAATGCATATCTTTGCTTTGGACAAACGCAATAAAACGATCATGTTGTGGGTTACACCCTGCGGTGCGGCCCGGCCTGTCATAAATTATGCCCCAGGTACAGAAGATCGTGTATTATTGGTTGCATACTTTCAATTTAATTTTTGCTTTATATCAAAGAATCAAGAACAGTTATCAAATTCGCATTATATCAGGGCACTGTATTTTTGAATTACCTATAAACTGTTTTTTTTTAATTCAATACGGTATACCGTTATCAAAAAATCTTAATAATTAAAATTTTCACATTTTATTCAATAAAAAAATATCTATTAACTTATTTAAAGCGGGAATATTTCCCTGGTCTCCATTTACCTTTAAAGAAACACTACAAACATCAAGAAACTCTTCAAGTCTAAATTTGCGGCTAAAAACAATGAAATAAATTTACATGTAATAGGTATACGCCAGCTTTCAGGGGGTCTGATTTTTCGCCCATTTCGAGGCGATAAACTCGCCTGGCCAAAACCAGTCGCAAAAACTCGAATCAATCCAGTTTAAAAAAAACTCATCGACCGCAAAATCGTCTTCGATCTGGTCGCGACGTCCTCGCTCCGTCTCTGCCCTCCACAGCCGCTTGACGACGTGTATTTACCGTTCGAGTCGCAACCTCACCAAGCGCGAAGTCAGTCAGTCAAGAGACCGCGAAGGGGGCAACGTTTTCGCGACTCGACTGCCATGTGTCTGAGGCTAAAAGTCGACAAAGCCGCCATTAACCACTAAAACTCTTCTTAAATTAGTCAAAAAAATACCATCATGTCTGTAAATCCCGAGTAATGTTGTGTTTCGTGCAAGGATTCGAGGATAGAGACGAGGGCAAAGAGCGGAAATTGCAAGTGGTCAAAAACAAGTTCTTGAAAAAATCACGGTGAGTGCGAGCAAAAGAAATTTTTAAGTAGGTTGAGTTTCTAAAATAGCGAGACAGCGTGTTCTATTACAAGGCTTGAGCAATATCCTGGTCAGGAATGAGGATGTTACTGTTTAGTCCTTTGACTCCATTATTGTCACTATTATTGTTATGTGGAAAACGGAACAAGAGTTGTTATTGTGTCATTTATTAAAACTGTCCTCATTTGCCGATCTGACAGAACATATGTGAGAAAGTTGAATGCTCTTTCTTACGTCAAGATTTTTTTACAGAGATCTGAACCGATCTTCAGTTACGAAAATTGAAAGTGCGAAACACGTAACTACCAAATTGTTGAAAAATTCATTTCGTAACTTGGCATTGAAAAATATGACTTTTACCATGGACTAATCGTATCTATTCACTTATCAAATGTTTAAAAATTACAAATAATGGCTACAAAAAATTTTACGACTCAATTGTACTCACACGTGAATAAAAATATACACCTTGAATCACTTGGCACTATTTTTAACTCTAAAGGGGCCCAAAATATCTTTCTCCACGATTTAGTTTTTCAAGAAAAGAATAAGTAACTGATAGAAATTATAGTTACAGGATGTTTCAAAAT